GACCTCAATGGGCCGACCCATCGACTGACCTCGGTGCAAGCCAAATCCAGAAAAGATCGAAGAGATGATACGAGGAGAGATCTCGCAGCCTCGCGACCCAACTAGGAATGACATCTACCATATGTCAGAATCGCCATTGCATCCTCCTCCCGCCATGAAGAGAGCCCGCCCCTATCAAGAACAGGGACTCACCGAAACGAAAGAGGTATGCCCCATTTATTATCCGCTCACAATTCTTGTGTGTCACCTACAAAAATAGTCTACACCTTCGAGAATCTCGGACCGAAGGTGAAGTGTCCACAAAAGATAAGGTTAGACCCGAATACCAGAAAATCAGACGCCATTTGCGAGTTCCGTCAAGAGCGAGGACATAAAACCGAGAATTGTACCAAGTCATAAAATTCCCAACTCCATGGGGAATATTCTATATTCGAGGGGAACAACGCACATCCCAGGAATGCTATTGCATCGCTCTAGGCTGTACGGTCACTCAACAAATAAAGGACAAAGAAAAATAGGCATAGCAATCAACAGGGTCGAGGTTGATATGTGATGACAGCGAGGACGTCATCAGAGACCCTGATACGATCGAAGCTGCAGACTCGACCGTAAATGACCTCGACCACGTTCAATTAGACAGCAACGACCACAACAAGAAAGCTTACATCAGTTGCAAACTTCAGGAACCGGGTAAGTTTTATCAATTCTTAACTGCTAACATGGACTTGTTTGCTTTTAGCCATGCAGATATGCCAGGTACCCCAAAGAAAATCGCTACACACAAATTGAATGCCCCAAGCATTTGCCCCCTCGATGTATCAGATGCTGAAGCGTGACCTCGACCCCGACCAGTTCCGTATATTTAGTAAACATCCTAATAAACTAGTAGATATATGGAGAAAGTTGGGCCAGACAAACGACATAGTAATGACATAACTCCTCCACCAGTGGGAGAAGGGGAAGAGTGTAGTTAACATGAAAAGGGTAAGTGTAGAACGCACAATACCCATGACGGTGGGCTTGCACCGTATCCTGCTCTGCAGGAATCAGATCAACATGAGCGAAAATGTTGAATTTAACTCTAAGCTCTGCTAGATCGACCTCTTTCATTGTCGATTCGGAAACCTTGGGCTCATCTTCAGGTGCTTTCGAGAAGTCAGACCTAACTTTCTCGCCACGAGGAACTATCTCCTCCACCGTAGGAAAGTTCTCATCCTTAATAGCAGCCGAAACTCCCACGACATGAGGAGGCATAATCACCGCCAAAGGGACCGGTTTACTTACCTCACCAGGACCAGAAAACATATTGGCCATAGTTCCCACAAAAGAGAGCATATTTAAGTGCAGGAGGGTTGGAAGCAACTGGGATCGCCGGAACCAGGAGAGTAGACACACAATAATGAAGTAAGGAGAAGAAGACATATGGATTCGATATGAAGAATATGCAAAACACAAATGAATGTCCTCATCTCCCTGTTTATAAGAATTAAAGCATCAGAACCGAGAAATCAGGCCATCATTACCCAGCACTGGTATCGAAACAGCAGATGCACGGGAAACAACGCAAAATATCGAGAAAATGCGCCATAATGATGCATGATGTCATGATGTCATACTGAAGTAGAAACGATGTGACCTCGAAAGTCGCGGCTCATGAAAGGTCATGTCGTCATCTCATCTAAAACGTCACTACTCGACCCTCTCGTCCAATTATGCCAACCACGATAAACAGAATTCGCTCATCAAGGTCGTCTGTGGTCTGCCTTAATAAGCGGATGGACTAACTGTATAGGTCAAAATCTATCTCAGTACTTAGGGCAAAATAACATCGAGAAAAGAGTCATCCGAGGTCGACCAGGAGATAGCGAGGCTCGTGGTCGATATGCAAATGATGGTCGGTGTCGAGCATCGCAAAAAGAGCTATAATGGCTAGTTTATTAGAATAGGGAATTAAAGAGAATATTCCATTGGATATTCTCTGTACTTGAACTACTAGGGTTTACTGGGGGTATGTCCCATATAAATAGGAAAAAAGTTAATGAATAGAGGCATGTAATATTCATTGCGATAAGAGCAGACTTTGCTAAAAGATTATCTCTCTCTTGTAAAGATACAAGACTACCTTTTTATCAAGATTCTTACTCATATTATTCCACACTTTCCATCAGATCCGAGAATATTTCGAATGTTCTAAGATCTGTCGGTCACTCATCATTGTGAGAAGGAATAATCATCTAGCTCATTGTTTATTGGGTGGACCACTTCTCCTATTTACTTAAATGACATTTGTTGTATTTATTGCTAGTTATTCCTCCATTAATAGAGATATCTTTCGAAACATATACTGAATGCTACTGTCGATTCTCTACTAGATCTCTGTCCAAACGTTAGCCATTTTATTAGAATCCACATCTAGAGATATTATCGTTAATCAGGTTTAACCCGTTATTATATAAATATAATCATTTTAATTAGAAGTTATTTTTCTTGGTCAAACAATAGTCTCTTATATTTGGGGTAAGTTTAAAATAGTCTCTTAAATAAACTCTTGAACAGTTTTGATCCTTTAAGTGTATCAAAAGTGAGCAATTTTGATCTTTCTGAAATATTTAACAGACTCTACCCGTTTAAGTGTGACTAGAAAAATGGGGAAAAAAAAGATTTAACAGGACAAATGGCTCTAGCGTTTGTCATTCAAGTATGATTGTCTCAAGATACTAACTAGTAACTCGTCAGGTAATTTACTCTTTTTACTGGCACTTCTTTTCCTTATCTTAGGAGGAGTAAGAATAGCACGAGCTAGCTAGTTTTCGGATTGGTAATCGAAGAATAGCTAGTATTTATAAAGTCATTGAAAAATAGCCACTGTTTTACTGAAACACGGAAAGTTCCAGCATAATATGCTGGATTATAGAGCTCATGCGTATAAACTTCCCGCATATTATGTTGGAACTTCAGCACGAAAATTCCAGCATAATATGATGGATTATGAAGCTCCTCCATTTAAATTTCCTGCATATTATGCTAGAATTTTTATGAATTTTAAGGATATTTTCGTTCAATTATATATTTACATGAAAAAATGACTAAATTTCGATTACAAAACTGAAAAAGAAGAATTTAATGGTCCAATACTATAGCACAAGAAAGAAACTGGGTACATTTTGGACTTGCTATTTGCTTGGTCATTTTCTGCTAAAGTAGCAAAATGGTATGGGCTGAAAGCCCACTTTTCTAATTCATAGCTTCTTAATTGGTTTTCTTATGCCACGCTGTGGTCCACACAGTCCACACAAAGCTTTCTGAGTAGCTTCTTCGCATAGGTGTTGACTTTTGATTTTTCATTGCAACAAGTGGTGAAGCTGATAAATACAGCACTTTATACTATAAACCAAACAAGTAGAGCAGAGGAATCCTTCAATAATCTACCACCCCCTATGCTACCCTAAAAGAAAAAAAGGATTTAATTTATATAAATTTACAAGTATAAATTTTTTTTATACTATCAATATATTTTAACACATTGTACGTAGCACATAATCTATAATCTGTTTTACAATCTAAATTACTAATCCCTCTTTTTCTAGACGGCCACTTAATTATAAATATCTTTTAGATGACTTTGACAGTGGAAATGATCTTCCATAGCATTAGTCTAGTTAAACTCAAAAAGGAAATCCCTTTAAAGTAATAAAAATAAAATTGAAGATTACCCATTATTTGATCTTTATATTACATAGCCTCCTCTAAAAAGCTTTATAGCCCCAAGTCTAGTCATACTATTATGCATATTGTCAGACTTAGCTCAAATCTAATTAATCTGCAATAATACTCCACCTAATCAACATATACTATCACACTTCATTTATCTAAGTAGGAGAGCTGCTTTAAACATTGGAGGGAATAGTAGGGTAGAGTAACAGTGAAGAAAAAGAGATCATGGGCGGCTCAAGTACATATGTGGCCTAAAATCAAAATTTAATGTGAGGCATAAAATTTTAAAAAGATTTATAATACATATTTTTATTTGAAGTTTATTTTCTTTCCTTTTGAAATGCAACATTGTTAATAAATTTTTTATAGTCGATTTTTTCTAATAATTACTTTTCAATTGATCATAATGTACCCGACTTAATTAATCTTTCTTAAAAAATTATTGATCTTAAATAAGATTATATCGACTTTAATTTTGAAAAACTTCTTTCCAATAAGGTAATTGTTATAGGAATCATTAACATTATTCTATAAGCATTTGGAAAAGACTTAAGTCTTTTTATTTGATTAAGTATATCAATTAAATTATTATCTTATAATTGTAAAATTTCCCTTAACAATTTTAAAATACATATAAACTTCTAAAGAATGGGCCCCCACAAATTTGGGAGCCAAAGGCATAAGCCTTACTAGCTATAGTTAGAGTCGGCCATGAAAGAGATACTATAAGTCCTATGCCTAATGATAAAAGAAATAAAGGAGGAAACAACAACAATAATATATCTAGTGCAATTCCATACAGTGAGATCTGGAGAGGATAGTGTGTACGAATACTTTATTTCTATTTTGTGACGGTAGAGAGGTTCTTTCCAATAGACCCCCAGTTCAAGATTTCATATCCACAATAGTGATGAAAAAGAAATACGGCAGTATAGGAGGTATGAAAGAAGACAGTAACAACAACAAGATAATATGATAATGAAGTGATACTGACAATAAGTAGCAATATAAATCGGATATTAAAAAAAAATTTAAAATACTTACAAATACGGAAATAAAGGAGGAAAGAAAAAGAATAATCAAATATTCTAACATGCATCACAAGAAAGCATTAGCTCGTTTCTGCAATCTGCATGGAAACTGGTTACTGGTCCAGACTCCAATGACGTTAAGCTGGTTCCCTTCAAAACCCTAATCCCATTTCAAAGCACAAATCCTTCATTAACTTCCCATTTGGAATAGATTTTTAATATTTCTTTTTTCAAAAAAAAATTAAAAATATTATTTGTTCATGGTCAGTTTTTGAAAAAAAATTGAATTTGTTTTTCAAGTTCCAAAAACTGGCCTGATGAAAAAAATTTCTTCCACACACAACTTTAAATTCTTTTCAAATGAAGTGCATGTCCAAAAATTATATTTCAGCACAGCGACTAAAAGACTAAAACCTTTTTTTAAAGTTTAACTATATCTATGTTTTGGCTGAATTTAAAAAGCTCATTTCTTCATATCTCCTTTTCACTTCTGCCTGCTCTGTTATTTTAGTTATTATTATGATTATTATTGCTATCTACGCCTTTTCAGCCTCGAGAACCGTTTCATTTTGTACTTGGCTTGGCTTTGTAGATCTTCTGTCCTTTGTTGTTATTCTACTTTTTCCTCTAACTTTACTGCTGGAGCAATAAATTACTACAAAAACAGGACAATTTCATATCCTCTGTGCTCCTTCGCTCTAACCTCTACCTTTCTTTATATTCATTACAAGTTTCGCAGCAGATTCAGAGATTCACAGACTGAACCATTTTCTTTCTGTTCGATTCTTTATTTTTCTTGGGATCTGTTTGTCTTTTTCATGGAAGTCCACAACTAAAAAAAAATTTCGCACTCTTCAGTTTCTTATCTGCTTATTCTTGGCTATCCTGAATTATCAATGAATAACTTCATTATCAAAATTCAGATTATGTTTCTCCAATTTGTCCTTGTTGGGGTGTATATTATGTACAAGGGTGCAGCAGATGCTTCGGGAGCTCCAATGGAGAAATATGAGAAAGAGGCCTTGTATTCTGCAATTCAAGGTTTTGTTGGAAATGAATGGAATGGTTCATATCTTTACCCTGATCCTTGTGGCTGGACAACAATAGAGGTATTAAACTTATGATTTACTAGCTAGTTCTAGTAGTATAATTTTACCTTAATTTTAGTTATTTGTTCTAATTGGAAATCAATAAAACAATAATGCTAGTTCAGACTACACAAGTTAAAAAGGGTTGCTTCAGCACTCAGTAGAGTATGAGACAGCCATGTATGGATTTTTTAAAACCATTTTCGTAAATAAATATTGTCATTAGTGAGAACCAAGACTTTACCAAATTGTCGGAGCTATCTAAAACAGCCTCTTTGCCGGTAAGGCTGCATACATCTCACCCTCCTCAGACCCCACTTGTTGGAATATACTAGATTTGTTGTTGTTGTTGATTCGCAAACAGTGTGATTTGAGTGTCTGTGTAATTAGGTAGCTTTCCAATTTCNATATATATACATAGTAAGGCCTTTTTTGAGTTCACTTCTAATTCCTTATAAAATTAAAGATTTAACTTATATACTCTAACATGTAAATAATTTTTACATTATCATTCATGTTATGACATGTAAGTTATGCTTTGGCGTAACTGATAAAGTTGTTGCCATATGACCAGGAGGTCGCGGGTTCGAGCCGTGGAAATAGTCTCTTGCAGAAATGCAGGATAAGACTACATACGTTAGACCCTTGTGGTCCGACCCTTACCCGGACCCTGCCATCGAGCTGTCCTTTTATGGCATGTAAGCTATTTTATTTTTCAGGTTATTAATCTCACGTTTCATTGAGAATTACTTGTCATATATCTTGGTAGTGTATGAATTGTTTTACATTGCTAGTGTATATAGTTAAACTCTATTCCGCAACGACTAATTTACCAGAAACCGACTTAACTTATAAGCTTGGAAAACATGAAGCATCTTCCTTAATTAGATCATATATAAATGTATTAGCTCTAAGATAGCTTGTTTTAACTCTTATCCACAGGGTGTATCATGTGATTTCTCTAATGGCTTCTGGCACATAACAGATTTAAGTATCGGACAAGTATATGACAACTCCCTTAGCTGCTCCCCAGCTGCAGAGTTCAGAGAAGACTTATTCAAGCTCAAGCATCTAAAAAGACTTTCCTTCTCAAATTGCTTTCTCTCATCTCACCACAAACCAATTACAATTCCCACATCAAATTGGAATAGTCTTGCAAACAGCCTTGAATCGTTAGAGTTTCGATCAAATCCTAGTCTAACTGGGACAATTCCCACCAGTTTTGGCAACCTTAAGAATCTTCAATCTTTGGTGCTGGTGGAAAATAGACTCAAAGGAGAAATACCAGAAGCTTTAGGCGGCTTAATAAAATTAGTGCGCCTCGTTCTTTCAGGAAACAGTTTTGAAGGTCCAATTCCTGCTAGTCTAGGAAAATTGACAAATCTTTTAATATTTGACACCAACAGGAATTTTCTATCTGGTTCATTACCTGTGACTTTTGGTAATTTGACTTCACTTATAAAGCTTGATTTGAGCAACAATTTATTTGATGGAAAATTACCTAGAGAAATAGGAGGTCTAAAGAGTGTAACACTGCTTGATCTCAGCCATAACAAATTTTCAGGGGGTTTGCCAAAGATAATTCAAGAAATGATTTCTTTAAAAGAACTTGTGCTATCTAACAATCCAATAGGTGATTATGTTACAACAATTCAATGGCAGAAGCTGAAAAACTTGGAAATCCTGGATCTTTCCAACATGGGATTGAAAGGGAACATACCAAATTCAATGACAGAAATGAAGAAGCTGAGATTTCTCAGCCTCAGCAATAATAGTCTTTCGGGAAATATTCTATCGAAATTTGATAGAATGCCAACTATTTATGCTTTGTATCTTGATGGAAATGATTTCACAGGGAAACTTGAATTTTCAACAAGGTTCTATGACAAATTAAGGAGTCGTTTTCGAGCTTCAGGTAATATGAATCTATGCTCGTCTCTCGAGTTAATGTCAACAAGGCATGTACCAGAAGGAGTAAAACAATGTGAACAAGATAGCATAATACATAGTGAAGATTCAGACTCCAGTTTGAAGAATGAATTTTTGAATCAGAATCTGCACTTTATTGCTTCTTTGGGACACTCAGGCCATGTTGTTAGTGGTTTTACATTTTGTTATGTTGTAAGGATTATACTTATGGCTCTTCTTTGGATTATATGAATAAATTTCTTCCCTCATTCTATGACAGAATTTCGTTAATTGGTTCTTTCTTGCCTATTTTACTCTGCCTGTAGACTAGAGCTTTCTACCAGAATCTTGAGTTGTTTGGAAAGTCACGAGAGTTCCATATTTTTTTATTCACAAGAGTACCATTATCTTATTTATATTCCAGTGTCAAAAAGTCACCTGATTAATTTGAATTTGTCTCGGATTAGATGCATGACTATAAGGAAATTATTCAGTTTCAATGCTCAAACTCGAAACTTCGATTAGCCTGGGTGGTTCTATATAATATTATTTTTGATTAATCAAAGCTTAGGCGTGGCGTTCGAGCTTGTTTGGATGGTTGTTATCTATTGTAAGTGCTTTGTTTTCTACAGCATTGAGTTGAATGGAGCAATAATTATTAACCAAAAGGACAAACAGTTGGATTCTTTTTTCCTATTATTGGTTAAAGATTAACACAGGATTAACATGAGTAAATTCATTCTATTATAAATATAACTCAAAATAACAATATCGAACAAGGAAAAACAAATTAAGAGATATAGAGAGAAAGAGAGGAAGAGAGATTCTTATTTCTTCTTCAATTGTATGTTTTTTTCTATCTATTACAAGGTCTTTATATAGGCATGAAAAGTGAATAAAAATATGTCATTGAATATGTCATTAAGCATAGAAATATGTCATTGAATATGTCATTAAGCATTTGAGAAGATCATGGAGGAAGAGTAGACATCCAACATAATTTGATTTCTCTTATAACACTCCTCCTTGGATGTCCATAGATAATGTGACTCGCTAAAACCTTATTAGGAAATAATCTTATGGAAAAAAAAAATTCATAGTGAAGGAAAAAGAGTACACATGTTTAGAAATACGCCTTTTGGTTGCCTCGTTAAAAACCTTTCAAGAAAAACCCAATGGGACAAAATCTTGTAAGGGAAAAAGAGTTCAACGCGTATTAACTCCCTCTGATGAGAGCATCAATTCACATCCTTGAGCTTTCGCATCCCAATCTTGTACACTAGTTTCTTGAAAGTTGACGTCGGTAGAGATTTGGTAAGCAAATCAGCCATATTATCACTTGAACGGATCTGTTGCACATTGAGATCACCATTCTTTTGAAGATCATGTGTGAAAAATAACTTTGGTGAAATGTGTTTTGTCCTATCCCCTTTTATGAATCCTCCTTTCAATTGGGTTATGCATGTTGCATTGTCTTCATATAAAATTGTGGGTAATTTATCGCACTTCAAACCACATTTGTCTCGAATAAGGTGTATTATAGACCTCAACCATACACATTCTCGACTTGCTTCATGAATAGCAATTATCTCAGCATGATTAGATGAAGTAGCCACTATTGATTGCTTAGTCGATCGCTAAGATATGGCAGCGCCTCCATATGTAAAAACATAGCCTGTTTGAGATCGAGCCTTATGCGGGTCAGATAAATACCCAGCATCGGCATAACCAACAAGATCGGGACTGCAATCATTGCCATAAAATAATC